CCCTAAAGGAAAGGAAGAGGGGCATTGACATGACAAATTGCTCTACATCCGAAAGGATTACTCTTCGGTTATAGCAAAGATCCGAGACGGAAAATCGGTACAGCTAATCATGTTGACAAAAGCACATGATGATGGAAGTAAACTTAACAGAAGCTGAATGGGTTCGAAGCCGATATGACCAGCTAAAACCTTATTAAAACAGCTGAATGTTATAGGTCATGGACAAGCCTATCAAAGGAAAGTCAAAAAGGCTTATGAAAAAAGGTCAACCCTCACATTTACCATAAGAAGGATTTAATAATAAATAAGTTGCTTCCAGCCCAAAAGGATAAAATTGGAAAATGGGCAGTGAACTACGAAGGACCCCTTGTGGTCAAATGAGCTTTCTCGGAAAGGGCTCTTATCCTCATCAATATGGATGGAAAAGAACTTCGACACCTAATCAACTCCGATACGGTGAAGAAGTATTATGCTTGAAGACATTGCTCAAGACCTGTCAGGAATGAAAATCCGCAAAGGACATTCCTGGGCAAAAGATAGGGTCCATATTCCTCGCTAGGATACGTCCTAGGCAAAAAGAAGAGGTAAAAAAAAAGTAAATAAAAAAAAAAGAAAAATAGAAAAAAGAGACACTAAGAGCAATGGTTACTTTAGTCGAAAACCGAAAAGGCGGCTAAGGTAACATTCTTCCAGAAGCAAGCAGTCTGCATAGTCTTCACTCTGAGCTCAGGCATATCAACTGAAGCAATTAGGAGAACTAGGGGGCAGATATCATAGACATGACTGTATAAGCCTAAACAGTATAACCAACCCTGACCACCCATTCTTCTAAATACCTTTTGAAATCCTTCTATAAAAGAAATAAAACTTTTGCTCATTTATCAATAAAAATTCCTTTTCATTTCCTTTCTCTTGACCAAATATTATGGAAATGCCTCTTTATTGATAAATCATAAATATGCGCAAAGACCTTTAATCAAAGATCAAGCATGCATCTAAAAAGGGAAGCATAAAAAATAATAAAAGAATAAATGCCTGCTAGGATATTCTTAGGTAAAAATCAGGGTAGCCTGCTAGATCGGAAATCCCAGTACAACGGTCTAGGCAAAAGATAAGGCAAAAGCCCCTAAGATATTTTAGGAAAAAATTAAGGCAGCCCGCTAGATCGAAAACCCGTAAAGGGCGATCTAGGCAAAAGATAGGGCTAAGACCAAAAGATTAATAAAAGAAGAGCCCATCATTATAAAGGAGGAGCCCATAATGGTCATAAAGAAAGGAGCCCATCGGCATATTCATGAGAAGCCAACGGGAGAAGGCCAGTTACTTTCTAAATGCATCAAAAATAAATAAACAATAGATTGCATTTAGGACATTCACACACAAAATAGTTGCATAATACGACTTTGTCAAAATCAAGAAAAATAATTTTCTTCAAACAAGAATATTAAACATGCATATAAGGAGGCTAGTCTCCATACTTGTGATTGAAAACAGGAGGCGCCAAAATCCAGTCTCCATATGAAAATCAAAATCGCGAAAGGCGAAATCAAAAACCATTTCAGTAGAATAAAGAGCTTTAAGAAAACCATAGCTCCAACCATTCTCCTCAAATCCCAATAGAAGGAGGGTACATCAAAAAAGGCCAATGGAAAGGCCCGATGATCCCTAAGCGGATCCTTGCCTACTCTAGAGGCAAAAATAATTACTCCATGACTCAGCATCATCATCACATGAGTCATCAAACCATAATCATTTAAAGATCCGACCACTATCCTTCCATCCAAGGAAAAGGAAGTCATCAACCTTCTACACCAATAAAAGAAGGAGAAGAAAAGCCAATGGAAAAGGCTTGATCATCCTCAAGAGGATCCTTGCCTATTCAAAGGCAGAAAAATATTCCCTGACTCAACACCACCACATGAGTCATCAAACATAGTCATTCAAAGCTGCAATCAGCATCCTTCCATCCAAGAAAGAAGGACACCATCAAAATGAAAAAGCCAAATGGAAAGGCTTGACCATCCCCAAGAGGATCCTTGCCTACTCCAAAGGCAAAACAAAAAGACTACTTCACGACTCAGCTTCATCGCCACATGAGTCATCAAGCACACTCATGCGAGAGTCTTTGTCACTTCCCCAAAGCAGAATAAGGAGAATAAGGACTACACAAGAGTCCATCCAAGAAAATACGGAGTCAAATCCTCCACATCACCAGGGGGCAACAAAAAGGAAGAAAAGAAAAACTTTCATTCCCCAATAGAGGCCACAACGAAAAAGGCCAAATAAAAAAATCTCCAAGAAGAATATATCAAGAAAATCTACCAAAAGATTTTTTCCATCTTCCAGCTCAAATAAGAAGCTTCACAAATCCAGGAGCCAAGACTCCATCATCAAATTTGAATCCCCAGGAAACCGACAGACTCCTCGGTGAATCCCAAAAAAGAAAAAGAAGAAAAAACTCTTCATTCCGCTCAATAAAGAGCCTCACAAAAGTTAGAGCCAAGACTCCATCATAAAAAATCAAACCAAGGATTTGATCCCCTAAGAAAAGAAAAATTCCCCAGGGATCTCCAAAAAGAAAAGAGGAAGAAAAAATATATCTTTCTCATCCAAAGATCAAGCCAATGTGCATAAAAGGAGCACATATGCAAAAGCTAAATCGCAAAAAAAGAGAAATTGCAAGAAAAGGGTAGAAACCCATTCCCCAGCAAAATAAGAGCATAGGCAAAGCCAGCTCAAAACAACAACAACCCATAAGGAGTCGAAAACTCCATTTCTCCCTCGGAGGGCAATTCAAAATAGATCTCCGGAATGAAATCAATCCCCCAGTGGATCATCAACAACAAAATCCCCAAGTGGATCTTCGCCTAATCAAGAGGCATAATCAATAAGAGAAATCCTTAGCGAGCCTACCAAATGAAGGCAAAACTACAAGTTTATATCCTCAGGGAATCGCGTACAAATTCCCAAATACAAATATCCCCAGTGAAAAGCAAAGTCTTCACTTCCAACAGGCAAGCAGAAAGCCAATATCCCCAAGAAACGGGAAATCAACCTATGCAAGAGGCAATCCAAAACCTAAGTCTTCACCACTATTGAAGCATATGCCTAAGTCAAGAGGCACAACCAAATAGAAATCACATCCCCAAGTGGGTTCTTGCCTAAACAAAAGGCACAATCAACAAAAAGCTCAAATCCCCAGAGGATTTCCGCCTGATCAAGAGGCACAACCAAACAAAAATCTCACCAAGTGGATTTCCGCCTAATCAAGAGGTGCAACTAATAGAAATCAAAATCCCCAGAGGATTCCTGCCTAAACAAGAGGCAACCAACAAAGAATCCCCGGCAAAGCCGGATGGCTCAAAGAAAAAGCCAAAACAATGAAATCCCCGTTCAAGACCGGATGGCTAAAAGAAAAAGCCAAAATACAGAAATCCCCGCTCAAGACCGGATGGCTAAAAGAAAAAGCCAAAACAATGAAATCCCCATGGCTAAAGAGAAAAGCCAAAATCAAAGAATCCCCGGCAAAAGCCGGATGGGTAAAACAAGAAAAACCAAAAATCCCTGGTAAAACCAGATGACTAAAACAGAAAAGTCAAAAAGAAAAATCAATTACTCCCCAGAGACGCATGACCAAAAACAGTAAGCCGTCAACTCATCTCCAAAAACAGATGATCATAGGATTGACTACAAAAAAGTTCATCCTATAAGCCTTGCAAAAAAAGGGCTTATCATTCACACTGGGTGGGGGTGTGTACTCACCTAAGCCTTGCAGAAAAAGGCTTATCATTTACACTGGGTGGGGGTGTGTACTCACCTAAGCCTTGCGAAAAAGGCTTATTATTCACACCGGGTGGGGGTGTATACTCACCTAAGCCTTGCGAAAAAGGCTTATCATTCACACCGGGTGGGGGTGTGTACTCACCTAAGCCTTGCGAAAAAGGCTTATCATTCACACCGGGTGGGGGTGTGTACTCACCTAAGCCTTGCGAAAAAGGCTTATTATTCACACCGGGTGGGGGTGTATACTCACCTAAGCCTTGCGAAAAAGGCTTATCATTCACACCGGGTGGGGGTGTGTACTCACCTAAGCCTTGCAAAAAAGGCTTATCATTCACACCGGGTGGGGGTGTGTACTCACCTAAGCCTTGTGAAAAAGGCTTATCATTCACACCGGGTGGGGGTGTGTACTCACCTAAGCCTTGCGAAAAAGGCTTATCATTCACACCGGGTGGGGGTGTGTACTCACCTAAGCCTTGCGAAAAAGGCTTATCATTCACACCGGGTGGGGGTGTGTACTCACCTAAGCCTTGCGAAAAAGGCTTATCATTCACACCGGGTGGGTGTGTGTACTCACCTAAGCCTTGCGAAAAAAGCTTATCATTCACACCGGGTGGGGGTGTGTACTCACCTAAGCCTTGCAGAATGAGGCTTATCATTCACACCGGGTGGGGTGCGTACTCACCTAAGCCTTGCAAAACGAGGCTTATCAAAAAACCTAGCAAAAATGCATCAGGTGGAGTAAAAATACTCACCGGGAGCATTGCAAAAAACGGGTGCAAAAACCTTACTCCTATTAGAGGATAGTTCAGTGTTGAGCACCTCGGGAGTAAGTACCCATAAGAGTTTAAGCAAAATGTAAACTCATACCAGATGAGGGTAGGTACTCACCAAAACCTTGCAGAACAAGGTTCATACCTAGTGGGGGTAGGTACCCACAAAAGTCTAGTAAAAATACAGACTTATACCCAGTGAGGGTAAGTACTCACCAAAGCCTTAGAAAAGGAAGGCTCAAACCAGATAGGGGTTAGTACCTATCAAAATATTTATCATCCGGAGGATCAGCAAGAAGCAGCATCCGAAGGATAGCCGGGCAAAAGGGTTAACTCCTTCCCCTACCAACTAATTTTGTCGGCATATTAAAACCAACGAATTAGTTAGGCAGGTGAAGGGGGGGCAGCTGTAGACCCCTAATTTTGCCCGGCCTCTCAAAATAAAAGCTAGAGGAACTTCGCCCGAAGATAGAGTTCATCCGACTTCCCAAAACTGAGGAAACCTCCTGCAACAAACACAGAGATCGCTCGTCTGCACGATAAAGGACAAAGGAAACTTCCTATACAGAGATAAAGCTCGCCCGACATCTTAATGAAGGCCAAGAAGACCTCCTATATGAAGATAAAGATTCAATGGACACACATCGGCATCAAACGACGTCCGAAAACGGCAAGGAAAGCTTCCCGGGGTCCCAAAATACAAAGGTTGGACAAAACAGGTCGAGACCACCATCCCAGGGTTGGGACGGTTGTCCCAACTGAAATTAAGCAGTTGGGACGCGCGTCCCGAATGTGGGACGGCCGTCCCAAACCCCAGGGGGTCCCAACGTGAACAAAATTGCATTTGGGATGGCCGTCCCAACCCAGACTGGCCGTCCCAGATTGGCACAACGCAGAAACCACGTTTGGGACGGTCGTCCCAACCCAGACGGCCGTCCCAGAGTTCCAGGGCAAAATTTACTATAAATAGGAGCCTCATTTGTCATTCTCCACACACCAGACAACTCAGAGACTTGTCTTCTTCTCTCCCTCTCTCGAATGATCTTTCTGATTGCCTTTTTTAGGTAACAATTAGTTAAGGAATTTGTATTCCGGCATTCGATTCTTCTAGAAAATTTAGTCGAGTCGAGTCTATAATCGAGAGGAGAGAACAATTGTAGAGCGAAGGACTGCCGAAACGCGTCCTCTTTGTACAAGAATCATAATATAAAGCTTGCTACGGAGGTTTTTCTCAATTCTCTTCTTCTTTACTGCTTTATTTATTGTTTTCTGTATGCAATGTAGATACATCATGTAGATAACCATATCTAAATAACTGTACAAATAAAATAAGGGTAAATGCATAATTTCTCATAATCTTCACTTAATGAATAAATCCGTCATAGGGAACCCGAAAGGGGCGTTGTGGGGGTGCTAACACCTTCCCCACATGTAACTAACTCCCTTACCCAACTCTGGTTATAATGGCCAAGTTGGTTTTTATTAAAATCAACGCCTTTTTTCCTTTTCCAATGTTTCCGGTCAAAACATTGGTGGCGACTCCAAAAGAACCCATTTTCGAAAACCTTGCTTTTATTAGAGGACAGTTCAGTGTTGAGCGCCTCGGAAGCAATGAACACAATTTTAACAAAAAACGCGAGTCTCACCCATCTTTTCACGACCGCTCGCATTAACGTTCGAGACGTCCCCAGGACGTCGGAACGGACGGCGGCGATAGGGGTTCGTACCGGGTGGGGGTAGGTACCCATCAGAGCCTTGCAGAACGAGGTTCGTACCAGGTGGGGGTAGGTACCCATCAGAGCCTTGCAGAACGGGGTTCGTACCAGGTGGGGGTAGGTACCCATCAGAGCCTTACAGAACGGGGTTCGTATCGGGTGGGGGTAGGTACCCATCAGAGCCTTGCAGAACGGGGTTCGTACCGGGTGGGGGTAGGTACCCATCGAGCCTTGCGGAACGAGGTTCGTACCGGGTGGGGGTAGGTACCCATCGAGCCTTCGTAACGGGGTTCATACCAGGTGGGGGTAGGTACCCATCGAGCCTTGTAGAACGGGGTTCGTACCGGGTGGGGGTAGGTACCCATCGAGCCTTGCGGAATGAGGTTCATACCGGGTGGGGGTAGGTACCCATCGAGCCTTGCGGAACAGTGCTTCATACCGGGTGGGGGTAGGTACCCATCGGAGCCTTGCGGAACGGGGTTCGTACCGGGTGGGGGTAGGTACCCATCAAAGCCTTGCGGAACGGGGTTCGTACCGGGTGGGGGTAGGTACCCATCGAGCCTTGCGGAACGGGGTTCGTACCGGGTGGGGGTAGGTACCCATCGGAGCCTTTCGTAACGAGGTTCATACCGGGTGGGGGTAGGTACCCACCGGAGCCTTATAAAATAAGGTTTGTACCGGATGAGGGTAGGTACTCATCGAATCTAGCAAAAATGCGGATTCATACCGGGTGGGGGTAGGTACTCACCAGTAACCTTATAAAATAAGGTTTGTACCGGATGAGGGTAGGTACTCATCGAATCTAGCAAAAATGCGGAATCGTACCGGGTGGGGGTAGGTACCCACCGGAACCTTATAAAATAAGGTTTGTATCGGATGAGGGTAGGTACTCATCGAATCTAGCAAAAAATGCGGATTCGTACCGGGTGGGGGTAGGTACCCACCAGAGCCTTATAAAATAAGGTTTATACCGGATGAGGGTAGGTACTCATCAGAATCTAGCAAAAAATGCAGATTCGTACCAGGTGGGGGTAGGTACCGACCAGAGCCTTATAAAATAAGGTTTGTACCGGATGAGGGTAGGTACTCATCAGAATCTAGCAAAAAAAATATGCAGATTCGTACCAGGTGGGGGTAGGTACCCACCAGAGCCTTATAAAATAAGGTTTGTACCAGATGAGGGTAGGTACTCATCAGAATCTAGCAAAACTGCAGATTCGTACCAGGTGGGGGTACCCACCAGAACCTTATAAAATAGGGTTTATACCGGATGAGGGTAGGTACTCATCAAAACTTAGCAAAATGCATCAGGTAGAGTAAAATACTCACCAGAGCATTACAAAAACGGGTTGCAAATACCTTGCTTCTATTAGAGGATAATTCAAGTGTTGAGCACCTTGGAAGTAAGTACCCATAGGAGTTTAGCAAAATGCAAACTCATACCAGGTGAGGGTAGGTACTCACCAAAGCCTTGCAAAACAAGGTTCATACCTAGTGGGGGTAGCTACCCACAAGAGTCTAGTGAAATGCAGACTCATACCTGGTGAGGGTAAGTACTCACCAGAGTCTTATAAAGTAAGGCTCAAACCAAATAGGGGTTGGTACCTATCAAAAATATTTATCATCCAGAGGATCAGCAAAGGAGCATCTGAAGGATAACCGGGCAAAAGGGTTAATTCCTTCCCCTACCAACTAATTTTGTCAGCACATTAAGCCAATAAATTAGCCAGGCAGGTGAAGGGGGGGCAGCTGTAGACCCCTAATTTTGCCCGGTCTCTCAATAAAGGCTAAGGAGACTTCCTATAACAAGACAAAGCTCGCCCGGCATCTCAATAAAGACCAAGAAGACTTCCTATATGAAGATAAAGCTTCAATGGGCGTCTATCGGCATCAACCAACGTCCGAATAAAGAAAGGAAAGCTTCCCAGGGGTCCCAGAACACAAAAGTTGGACAAAACAAGTTGAGATAGCCGTCCCAAATGTGAGACGGCCGTCCCAAGCTGCCCTGGCCAAGTGGGACGCCCGTCCCAAGTGAGACAGGCCGTCCCACTCTTCAAAGGGTGGTCCCAAAGGTAAAAAATTCAATTGAGATGGCCGTCCCAACCCAGACGGCCGTCCCAACCCAGATGGTCGTCCCAAACTGTCAGGCTGCGAAAAACTATAAATAGGAGGCTCATTTGCCACTTTTCACACACCAGACAACTCTGAGTACTTGTCTTCTCTCCCTACTTCAAATGAACTCTCTGATTGCCTTAAAAAGGTAACAATCGGTTAAGGAATTGTATTCCAGCATTCGATTCTTCTGTAAAAATTTAGTCGAGTCGATCTTGTATTCGGAGAGGAGAGTCTTTGTAGAGCGGGGGATTGCCAAAACGCATCCTCACAGTTAAAAGATTCGCAATACAAAGCTTGCTACGGAGGTTCTGTTCAATTCTCTTCTCCTTTACTGCTTTATTTATTACTTTATGTATGCAATATGAAATAAAGTCATGTAGATAGCCATTTTTAATATTATGCAATAAAATAGGGTAATCGCGTAATTTCTCGTAATCTTCACTTAAATGAATTAATCCGTCATAGGGAACCCGAAAGGGGCGTTGTGGGGTGCTAACACCTTCCCCACACGTAACTAACTCCCTTACCCAACTCTGGTTATAATGGCCAAGTTTGGTGTTTATTAAAATCAACGCCTTTTTATCCTTTTCCAATGTTTACGGTCAAAACATTGGTGGCGACTCCAAAAGAACTCCTTTTCGAAAACCTTGCTTTTATTAGAGGATAGTTCAGTTGTTGAGCACCTCGGAAGCAATGAACATATTTTAACACAAATACGCGAGTCTAAACCATCTTTTCGTGATCGCTCTCATAAACGTTCGAGATGTCCCTAGACGTCAGAACGGACGGCGGCGACAGGGATGTTCTGACGGAGAAGATATCCCGGCAAGCCTCCGATCGGAACCAACTAATGGGGCAATGCTTGCCCACATGAACATCCTTAGTCGACAAGGATCCGAGTTCATTTTACACCCTATGATCTCAATTTCGTTAGATATCCATGATTTCGGTATGCCACAGGAAATCCCCACGACTTCGGAGTCCCAACAGCAATCATATGATCAAGATTTTGCTGGCTTATACCGACGTATGGACGATGAGCACGCTTACATGGAAGGACAATTCCAGTTCTTACGCCAACAATTCAGCCAGCTAAATATGAAGCAAGAAAGGACGGACCGCCAAATAGAAAATTTGGTTCAGACCCAGGCAAGGTTCCAGCGCCGCATGCTCCGCCGCATCCCTTCGCCAGCACCATCGTCCCACTCCAGCCCAGAAGCTGATGACTAGGATGTTTCTAGATATTTTCCATTAGCTAGAATGCTTGAATGTAGCATCCTGAGAAAAAGGGGAAGTAATAAATAAAAAGTTGTTATTTTTGTTTACCCTCCAAAAGCCCGCATGTATAAAAAATAATAATAAAATAAAAAGGCACACGTGATATCTTAAAAAGACAGATTTCAAATAATTCGCGAGAAAAATTAAAATCACGAAAGAGAAGATGAAATCAAAACCACTCCAGCAGAACAAAGAGCTTCAAGAAAACCATAGCTCCAACCATTCTCCTTCTACCCTAATAAAAAGAAGGTACATCAAAAAAGGCCAACGGAAAGGCTCGATCATCCACAATCGGATCCTTGCCTACTCCAAAGGCAAAACAAAAATTACTCCACGGCTCAACATCACCACCACACGAGCCATCAAGCATATTCGTTTTAAGATCCAACCACCATCCTTCCATCCAAGAAAGAGGAAGCCATCAACATAGAAAAGCTAACGGAAAAGCTTGATCACTGTCGCCGCCGTCCCTTTCGACGTCGGAGGACGTCTTGAAACGTTTATGCGAGCGGTCGCGAAAAGATGGTTTAGACTCGCGTATTTGTTTTAAAAGGTTTTCGAAAAGGGGTTCTTATGGAGTCGCCACCAATGTTTTGACCATAAACATTGGAAAAGGATAAAAGGTATTGATTTTAATGAAAAACCAAACTTGGCCATTATAACCAGAGTTGGGTAAGGGAGTTAGTTACGTGTGGGGAAGGTGTTAGCACCCCACAACGCCCCTTTCGGGTTCCCTATGACAGATCAATTCATTTTAAGAGAAGACTTCGAGAAATTACGCGATTACCCTATTTTATAATATTAAAATGGCTATCTACATGATAAAGCTAAATAAAGCAATAAAAGAGATATAAAAATGGCTATCTACATGATTTTATTCTACATGGCACAAACAAGTAAATAAAGCTAAATAAAACAATAAATAAAGCAATAAAAGAGAAGAGAATTGAAAAGAACCTCCGTAGCAAGCTTTGTATTGAGAATCTCGAACCGTGAGGATGCGTTTTGGCAACCCCTCTCTCTACACGGACTCTCCTCACCAATACAAGATCGACTCCACTAAAAATTTAAAGAAGAATCAAATGCCGGAATAAAATTCCTTAACCGATTGTTACCTATTTAAGGCAATCGGAAAGATCATTCGAGAAAGGGGGAGAAGTAGACAAGTGCTCCGAGTTTTTGAAAGTGTTTCGAGCTCTCGGAGTGTCTCGTCGTCTCGAAAAAGTGGCAAATGAGCCTCCTATTTATAGTTTTCGCAGTCGGCGCACTTTGGGACCACCGTCCGGGTTGGGACGGCCGTCCTGGACCGGGATGGCCGTCCCAAATGTCATTTTTACACAGGGCGAGACCACCAGGGGACCTGGGACGGCCGTCCCACTTGAAATTGGCCTTGGGACGGACGTCCCAACTTCGGGACGTGCGTCCCAACTGAATCTGGAGGGTTGGGACGGTCGTCCCAACTTGGGATGGCCGTCTCAACCTTTTCTGGCCATTTTTCGCGTTTCGGGACCACCTGTTGTGTTTGGGACCACCTGTTGTGTTTAGGACCACCTGTTGTGTTTGGGACCACCTGTTGTGTTTGGGACCACCTGTTGCGTTTTGGACCACCTGTTGCGTTTGGGACCACCTGTTGTGTTTGGGACCACCTGTTGTGTTTGGGACCACCTGTTGCGTTTGGGACCACCTGTTGCGTTTGAGACCACCTGTTGTGTTTGGGACCACCTGTTGTGTTTGGGACCACCTGTTGTGTTTGGGACCACCTGTTGTGTTTGGGACCACTTGTT